TGTTCAGTTCCAGAGGAATGATTTGCATGTTCCGATTTTCTGGTTAGTTTGAGATGTTTCACTGTATTTTGCCCCTTGCTCCTTCGTCTGTTGCTTTCTGTTTGGCTGATTGGGGTTCATAGGAGGGTCTGTTTTTGGGGATATAGTCCTTAATTTACTAGGTTATTTATACCCGGGGTATGTCTTTGTGAAGTCGTTGTTACGTGAGGGGGGTTAGGTTATTGTTTTCCTTTTTTGAATTATGTGTTTTCTTTTTTTTGTTCTGCATCCTAACTCTCTAAGACTAATGAAGGATGGCCATAAGCATGGGGTGACTAATTGGGCGTATTGTTGGACGGACGAAGGTGTGCTTGGGATTTGTTTTTCTTGAATTGTTCCTTAGCTTGTCCTAGCTTGTGTATGATATTTAATATCATGACATATTACGGCGACTAGACTAGTAAACAAAATAAAATCATCACCTGATTTTAGCATACGCTTCTTGAGATATCTAACCTCCGGAGTTAGAGGCGGTTTCTGGATTTTGTAATCCCTTTTTGGGATCTGTTGGATTTCTGTTGTAGCTACCCTCTTCTTGCCTGTTTGTTATTTCAGGACCTGGTGCTAGGGTTCTACTTTTATGGGAGTTGGAGGATTTAGGGTTGGAATAAGAGGATTATGTTGTTTTTTGTCTCTTGAGTTGTTACTCGCTTCCCTGATTTATTTTTACTGAGATATACAGAAGATAATTTGCCGGGATATCAGAGATTTCAATTTCTTTACTTGGTAAGAAGTTGGTTATTCTTGCGCTTTTAGCATACTAGTTTCAGAGTCAACGAGAGAGTTTAGGGTTTGGATTTGTTGGATAGACTGATAACCTTGATATGTAGGTTTTGTATTTGGGAAGGAGTGGCCTGTGAAGGATTTTTGTCGTCAGATTTCTTAAGTTGAGACTTCTCCTTTACTTAAATAATTAAACCAACTCTTGACTTTTCAGATTTATTCCCATTCAGATGCTCAGAAATGTTATATATATTTCTACCCTTATGATTGCTGGTAGAGGGGCCTCGGGATGGTTCTACTTTTTTCGCGATTTCTTTTAGGGCCTGCATGAGTTGCCCCTTCTTTGTTCACTGGTGTTGGTATTCTGCTTCTTGGGTTGTTTTGTTTATTCAGTTCGTTGTTTGGGAATTTAATCTCGCGTTCTAATCTTCTGGGGTGTTTTTGGTGGGTACTCATGCTTTCTTGTCAACATAAGGCCGAAATGTTGTCTTTTGATCTGCTGTGATTGGATGGGTAATATAGGCCTTTCCGTTCAGAAAAGCTTTTTGCCGATGGAGATTTAAGGTTTCTAGTTAAATATACAATATGACGGGGGTTTCATAACCTGTTTTCATCTTCGGGCTAAAGAGGATTAAAGATACGTTTCAGACAGTGTCCATTAATGGATAAACACTT